ATAGGGCAAAAATTAAAAAGAATAGACGTGGGTTTTCAGGAAGATATTCGTCGTATAATATACGGATTTTATAAAGAAAATTTGGTGCCCACGTTGGAAATGATACGGGATAAATTAAAAGATTATCCTGAAGATTTTTATAATTACAAATGCTTAGACTCACTGCACTGTATTGTAAAACTGTGTGGTTTTCAATACAAAAAATTAGATAAAAGAATGGTGATTATGGAGTCGTCTCGAATCATTGAATTGCGCTAAGAATTTTTGCACAAAGTTAAAATCTATAGAGAGCAGAAAAGAAATCTGATTTACCTGGATGAAACGTGGTATGATACCCATGATGTTGTGCAGTATGGCTGGGTTGACGACAGCAACAAGTGCATTTTAAATGCACCATGCAACCGCGGAAAACGAATCATTATTCTCCATGCTGGCAGTGAAAATGGATTTATACCTAATGCCTTGCTGTTATCTGCCAAAAATATCAAGAATCATGTGCCGACTATCATGAGGACATGACCTCCGACTTATTTGAAAAGTGGATAGAGCAGCAGTTAATACCAAACATTTCCCCAAATTCAGTGATTATTATGGACAATGCGCCATACCATTCCCGACAGAAAAACAAAATTCCGAATACAGGCACAAAAAAACAAGACATTATTGATTTTATGAAGGATAAGGGAATGGAAATACCACAAAAATCAACCAAAGCCATCTTATTGGATCTTATTAAAAGACAAAAATTTGAAAAAGAGTATGTTGTTGACAATCTGCTTCAGCAAAATGGCCATGAAGTATTACGTCTACCTCCCTATTACTGCATTTTTAACCCGATTGAGTTGGTCTGGGCTGCTTTAAAAAAAAAGTAAGAAAACATAATCAGACCCCTCAATCAAGTGAATCGCTATTGGCCACAATAAGAGATGCAGTATCTCATATTGCTGCCACAGACCTATGGAAGCAGTGTTCTAGGCATATTATTGGAAAAGAAAATGAATATTGTGTTTTGCCTCCTGTAAATCCCGTTGTAATTCCTCTACAAGATGACTCTAGCGACAGCTATATAAATACCTATAATGTAAGTCTTTATATACCTTTTTATATACCTACCTGCTATGTAAATATTTGCCTATGTCAAACGTTGGAATTCTGTAATTTTTCCATTTCTTAACTTTCAGTCAACATAAATTAAACTCCCAATATAAGTATTTTTTATCCCAAATCAAAAAAATAAGAAGATAGTAAAATCCATTTATTGTGATATAAAAACATTATTATTATCGTTCTAAATAAATGCCGCACGCCTATGATACGTCATGAAATTACAAAGGACCAAAGGTTTTTATGCTATTTCAAGTGACTTCAGATACACCATACCTAGTCAATCTATGCATGATTCCTCGATGATCCTTGGACTCGATCATTTTCAATAAAGAACCAACAATCTAAACAAGTTATACATTACCGTCCTCCCAGTCCATATGGATAATCCCTTTCTTATCGAACGTTTCCGCGTTGCACCACTCTCCCCCAAATCGCTTACACTCGTGACGAACCACCTACTCGGTATGGAATCAGTAGTTAACTTTTTTTTCAGTTCTGGTCGACCGCCTTCAACTAGCTCACGCTAATAACTGGCGGTGTGACAAGTGTTGGTGTCCGACAACACCTAGGAGGATAGTCTGAGTCAACGTAGCTGCTTCCTCTTGCACAAGCGGGCGCTACTCAGTAGCACGTGCTTCGTAAACACGATGTGCTTACCTGTGCCAACAACATTATTGACAAACTAGAGTGGTGCTGATAAATGATGTCGCGCATTATGGCATCCGAATGGTGCAACAAAATTCATGCGAGATATTTTTTCACTATGAAGCAGCCGCGCAGGCAGAAGCCTAAATGCCAGGACAACGCGGCTGCTGTGAGGAACCTTTAGAATCTTTGTTCATTCGATTTTTGGACTGCCTAAAGTTAGTAGAACTGGGAAAAGCCTCCTCTTGTAGACTGTTTCACAATCTCGAGACAAAGGAGCGGTCGTACCAGCCAGTTCTGGATGTACGAAGTTTGACACGGTTAGGATGGGAGGTCGAAGTCAGGCGGATCTGTTTGGCAGGCATATCGCGCGGCGGCTTCATGGAGATGATGTCTGAGGTTCAAAGCCCGATGTGAGCAGTACTCAAGACTAGGTCTTATCTGGGCCTTGTACAGAGCGAGGATTTATGTGCAGAAAAGTACTTATAGACCTTAACAAATAGCCTAGGTCTTATGTATGAAGGTTACTTCCCGCATAGTGAATCGACGGTCCTCGGTTGTGGCAGGGGGGGTCGTCCGTGGTTGACTTGGCAGCAAAGATCTTGGCAAGCACTTCTATTTCCTTTTAGTGGGAAGGCGCCCCTTCAGCTTTGTATAGGGGCTTAGGTCAAAGCCCCCAGTGCAGGACCCCCAAGAAAGAGGCCGTCCATAAATTCGAGAACCGACATTCGGAAGAAACGTCCACCACAGGCTTCCGCGACGCGTGCGCGATCAAGTCAAATTTCGGGAAAAAGGGGCAAAATTGGGGAGGGGGGTTAGCTCGTTCGGCAGCACACACCTGGGGAATGCGCAGCGGCCTGAACCACGCAGCGCCACGCCAGGCCTTCGGGCGGGAGAGAAGGGAGGAGCAGATTGCTCTTCCCGCCACTCCTCAAGGGTTTGAGGTTGCCTAGAACAGGGGTGGTGGAGGGACCGCACAGGGTAGGAGGGTGTGTGTGTGTGCAGCTTTGTAGTTGTTCTGTAGCCGATTTCGATGGAAAACCACCCCTTTCTCTTAAGAAAAGAACCCTGATGTAAACAGGTAAAATATCATTTAAATTAACTCCTTTATCGATATTTATATACTAAGTGACATATAAATCCGAACACCCAGTTTAAATGGTTTTATTTTAATAAAAGTTGGTGAATGTATTTATCTTACTGTAAATAACAAGTGAAAAAATGTTCAGCCTTATCAGTTGGACATTCCGGTTTTTATACTGCTTTCTTTTAATTCACTAACGCTCTAAAAATGAATATTTCAGTCGCAGTAAAGAATCAACGTTGGCGGATTTTGGTTCTTGACATCCTTTACGATCGGTTACGATGCCTAGAGTACGGAGACCTGTACGATTTCGTCAACTTAGTGAGTTTGATAGGGGCCGTATAGTGGGACTTCGGGAAGCTGGACTTTCTTTTCGGGCAATTGCAGTTAGAGTGCAAAGAAGTGTAGACACTGTGGTTAGGTGTTGTCAGGCATGGCTTCGAGAAGGCTGTACGCAAAGAGCAAGGGGCACTGGACGCCGCCGTAGAACGACAGATCGTGAAGATCGCCGCCTAAGATTATTGGCCTTAAGGGACCGTTTCTCCACTACCAGGTCCATTGCAAATGAATGGTTTGCAGAACACGGAAGACCTATTGGCATGCGAAGTGTTTACCGACGAATGAGAAGTTTTGGCTTGTTTTCATACCTGCCACACTGGGTCCTCCCTTTAACTCGAGAACACCGACGTAATCGCCTTGAGTGGTGCAGACAACGGTCACTCTGGGATCAGGAATGGAACAGTATTGTCTTTAGTGACGAGTCTCGATTTTGTTTAGGCATGCACGATGGTCGTGCCAGGGTTAGAAGGCGACGTGGTGAAAGGAGGAATCCACAGTTTTTTGTTGAAAGACATGTTCATCACACTGTTGGAGTTATGGTTTGTGGTGCTATAGCTTATGGTTCCAGGTCACCTTTAATCTTCATCAGAGGTAACATGAACGCGCAGCGTTATATCCACGAAGTTCTAGAACCCCATCTTTTACCCTATCTTGACACCCTGGCAGATCCAACTTTCCAACAAGATAATGCCCGACTACATGTTGCAAGAGTCACAATAGACTTCTTTCAACATAATGATGTCACATTGTTACCATGGCCACCAAGATCTCCCGACTTATCCCCAAATGAGCACGTGTGGGATATGATGGGTAGGAGATTGCTCAATTCTCAACGTCCTCCTCAGACTCTAGAAGCACTTCGAGGGAAGTTGGTGGTTGCCTCGAATGAGATACCACAGGAGGACATTGACCACCTGATCAGAAGCATGCCTAGGCGCGTTGGAGAATGCGTAGCACATCAGGGTGCATCCACACATTATTAAAGGTCAAAGGGCTTTAAAGCAGTGCAATCATTTTGAAATTTTTATCATTTACTTATTATGCTTCATTAAGTACTTGTACAAAATTTTATTAAAATAAAACCATTTAAACTGGGTGTTCGTATTTATATGTCACCTAGTATATATATTTTTGGAATGAGAATTAAAAATTCTATTATCTAATTTAATATGGATCCTATTAGAAAAAATAAAGTTGATGCTGAAGGATAACATACGAGGTTTTATACTGGAATTATCATTACACCACTTTGTAGAGGAGAAAAAGTGTCAAGTGGTAAGATTCGTTTTTTCCGTCTCTCTCTCTCTCCGGGCGTACTTTGGATTTCAAAACTTTCTAACCGGCATCTTGCGAGTTACCTAAATATGCAACCATACCCCCACTTAAGCCACTTCGTATCTCTCACCGTTTTCGAGATTTCTATGGTCAGGGTCGAATTTGAAACAGCCTGATAGTTTTCATACCAACTTATTGTATCTCACTCATTCAAGGCAGTTTATCATCTCCGCCCCTATTCTGTAAAATGTTCTGTGGCGAATCCTACATGATGGATAAATTGAAGTAGTAGATTATTTAAGTCAACGCAATCCTGGAAACTATCATTAGCCACTCTAGACAGCTAAGCAAGACGTCTCTGGTCACAATACCAAATTCACATTTACACCTTAGGCAGTGAGGGGCGAGAGGAGTACCTGAGCGGATACGGGGTTGAAAATGGAAAGGTACGACTATACGAGATGCATATTAATTTGAAATTTCTATTGTGTATGGCATGACTATGAATGATATTCCGATAGCCATTATATCATATTTTATACGCTGCCTTTTATGAATGTCCTGACACTTGATGGACTGTTAAAGAGGACGGGGCTTGAGCCATTGGGTCCTATGAATAAAAATGAGCATTTAGTATGTTCTCAAGAATTTGTAGCAAATACTCCATGTGATATAAATAAAAATAGGGAGTTGATGCACCATTTGAGCAGATACTCTCATGTATAAGTTGTTGTGAGTTCATTCTCAGTTTTCCTATGAATAAAAATTTGTTCATGCACATCGGAAGGGGAATTGTACTCCATAATTTTGAAGTCTGATATGTAGCAGACTTCAGTTTGACTATGGTACAGCTATGGCTGAGTTCATTCTTAATTTGCGTTCTAAAAAATATCACAAACCTAGAAGACGTACCTGTGATCGTGATTTTAAAACGTTATATTGATATACTAGAGAAAACGTAGAGTGGAGATCAAATCACATTTTGGGTACAGAATCTGGAGAACGAAGGGGTGGTGCTATATGTAACATTGATAAAATTAAAATATACTAAGTGACATATAAATCACCCAGTTTAAATGGTTTTATTTTAATAAAAGTTGGTGAATGTATTTATCTTACTGTAAATAACAAGTGAAAAAATGTTCAGCATTTCACGAAGTTCTAGAACCCCATATTTTACCCTATCTTGACACCCTGGCAGATCCAACTTTCCAACAAGATAATGCCCGACCACATGCTGCAAGAGTCACAATAGACTTCTTTCAACATAATGATGTCACATTGTTACCATGGCCACCAAAATCTCCCGACTTATCCCCAATTGAGCACGTGTGGGATATGATGGGTAGGAGATTGCTCAATTTGCAACGTCCTCCTCAGACTCTAGAAGCACTTCGAGAGGCGTTGGTCGTTGCCTGGAATGAGATACCACAGGAGGACATTGGCCACCTGATCAGAAGCATGCCTAGGCGCGTTGGAGAATGCGTAGCACATCAGGGTGCATCCACACATTATTAAAGGTCAAAGGGCTTTAAAGCAGTGCAATCATTTTGAAATTTTTATCATTTACTTGTTAAGCTTCATTAAGTACTTATACAAAATTTTATTAAAATAAAAACATTTAAACTGGGTGTTCGGATTTATATGTCACTTAGTATATTTCCGAAACGTGTTGAGATAAAGACATAAAATTTGGTGTTCTAGCCTAGTTTTTTATACTGGATTTAAAAATATTAACAATTTTAGACAGTTTTGTTTGGAAGCGTATGTAACAGGGACGGACTCAGGTTATTTTATCCCCGAAATTTTTGTATGCTTCTATTTTTGAAATTTAATTTTAGAATTTAAAAATCTAGGGTTTTCTACATAAAAAAGTACTCTCATTGAGTATCGATAAATTGTGCCATTTTTTATCGAATAAGTTAGTAAAAAAAATAAGAAAATCATACATTTCAAAAGCGTAATTTTAAATCTTTGGAAGTTTTCAACATTTTATTACTTATTATGAACTAGTAGCATTTTTAACGCTGGTAAAAATGAGAAATAAAAAAAAACAATTGAGAGTCGTTATTTTGATTTTTTTCAGTAAAATAACATTTTTTTAAATGGAAACCCCTGTATATTATATTTTTTTCTGTTAAAGCATCAAATTTTAAACAAAAAAGTTCATAATGACTTTTCCGCTAAAGTCAAAAATAAAGTCAAAATAACGATAAATATTTTTAATTATTTGCAGTATTATAATATTAAGACGGCTATGAAAACAACATGGCGTTCGCGATTTGACAGCATTAAGATAAGCGACAAATTGTTAAACTGGACATACTCGCAACTAGAAGGCTTTGGAAAACAATGATAAAATCAAATAATGTCAAACATTAGTGTAAATACTTGTTTATAAGCTTTATTGTGTCATTAATTTAAAGAAAAATGTTCTCCCATGAAGAAAAGTGTGATATGTTAGAATGCTATTTAGTGTGCAGAAAATCCTCCTTGAGAGCAAGAGAATACTACAGTGAATTATCTCCCGCTCGCATTCAACCGTATGAACGATATTTTCTGAGACTTTATCGAAAATTTAGGGGCAACGAAAATGTTTTTGCTAAAACAAGGGCAAAAAAAGAATTCATAATAAGCGAGGCCACGGAAATTGCAGTTATTGGATATTTTGAAGCTTATCGTGAGAATTCAATAGCAGATATTCTCAAGGACTCTAATTTCAGTTATGGTACTGTTCAAAGGATTTTAAAAAAATACAAATTTATTCCGTATAAGTACCGACCAGTTCAAACGCTTTTGGCAGGGGATCCAGAGAGAAGACTTGTTTTTTGCCATTGGTATCTTAGCTTCTGTCGCCAAAATGTAAATAACTTTCGTTACCTTTTATGGACAGATGAATCAAATTTTTCAAATTCTGGAATGTTTAATAGAAAAAACCACCATTATTGGTCAAGAGAAAATCTTTTGTTAGTACATCCAAGAGGCCCACAAGTCCGTTTCAGTTTCAACGTTTGGTGCGGTATAATTGGTTCAAAAATTGTTGGCCCGTTCTTTTATGAGGGAACCCTAACTGGTGAAAGATATGTGGAATTTATGTCAGAAATTCTGACTAATTTCTTAGACGAATTGGATCTTATAAGTAGACATCATCTGCATTTTCAGCAAGATGGCGCACCTGCCCACAACTCCAGAGGTACTTATCATTTTCTAAGTACTACTTTTAATGATCAGTGGATAGGAACAAATGGCCCAATACAGTGGCCTCCCAGATCACCAGATCTAAACCCACTTGATTACTTCTTGTGGGGTTACTTAAAGAACCAAATTTACAAGCGAAGGTACGATAACCTTGACGCGTTAAAGACTGCAGTTAGGGAAAAGATAACCCAGATAGATGGTAGGACCATACTTAAGACAGTTCGAGCAGTTGAAAAACGTGCCCAAAAATATTTTGAAGAACAAGGTGGTGTTTTCGAGCATCTTCTTTAAAAAAAATTGTTATTGTATTTTGTAAGATTATAAGTTGATGTTGAAAATAAAGTTTGTCGATACAATTTAATTGTTTCAGATTGGAGGCCATAACTTCAACAATTTGTAACCTAGGAGAAAAGTTATTGTAAGCTTTTTTGTTTAAAATTTGATGCTTTAACAGAAAAAAATATAATATACAGGGGTTTCCATTTAAAAAAATGGTATTTTACTGAAAAAAATCAAAATAACGACTCTCAATTGTTTTTTTTTATTTCTCATTTTTACCAGCGTTAAAAATGCTACTAGCTTGCTAATTCAAACAACTTTGTATTTTCACTAATAACAAAGTTACTAATGGTGGACACTTAATTTGGATAACCCTGTATACTAAGCGTATTGGTAATTCTCATGTCCAGTCTTTTCCAGACGATGATATGCAGTTGCTGCATTATTTTAATCCAGATAGTGTCAATAATACTACCCAAATTTTATGAAGCGATGTTAGCGAATTAATGAAGTACTCTTCAGATTGATACGTCATCATTTTGCGCCTTAAGAAAAAAAGACAATGTACAACAAAACCTTACCGCTTTATGATTCTGAAAAAATTCTTGGTGTGACTTTTGGTACAAAATTGAGGCTTATTGAGCATGTTAAAAGTCTTTTACAGAAAACCAATCTAAGCCTTACAGCAAACAGGTTTTAAGTTGCGTACAAAATTGGTGTTAACTACATTCAATCATTGTAAGATCGTATACCACACATGCTTAGAAAATTTCACCAAAAACGTTTTTCAAGAAACTACCCAACTAGCTAAGCTTTAGGTGAAAGAACCGTTCAGCCATAAAAACTCTCTATTGTTGTTGCCTGAACACCAAAATGCTGGCTTAATGTTGCGTGGAATGCAAATTTGCTTTCTGCAACATATTTGCTCTATAAATGAGGTGTTTAAAATATTCTCACAGCATAGTTACACAACACCTTATTGGAGAAATTTTTAGCTGTTGCATAAACGTTTATGCAACTATTTTATACGGCAAATTTGCAGGTTAGTCAAAATGGTTGTGTTGTGGCATCCATGGTAACGTTTATAAAAGAAACCCGAGCCTTGTTGTTTTGCTGTGCAAATTTACTACTTTAGCCAACAAACTGCTCCCAACGGAAGCACTGTTGTTTAGTAACTGTTAAAGGCTGTACATATGCTAAATATGTTGGTAACCAACTTCACCATAACCTAACTTTCTGCTGTCACATTTTTGTTAAAATGCCATAACCAGTGTTTTAAGACAAACAACGCATGCATATTGGTTAAAAAGGTCTTATCAACTGTTCAAACAGAAGATGGTACAAATTCTGGGTAAATCATTCGACTCTGTCGGTATTTCATTTCAGACATTTGTCAAATTGTTGTATAACACCTGCAGGCAACACCAAAATATTCTAATAAACTAAAGACAACATGGACGGTGCCATGATTATACACAACCACCCGCCATATTGGGCAAACATTTATTCCTCTATTTGATATTAAATAATTATGTTTCAGTTCAAAATTACAGATATAAAGTGATAAACATTAGTGTAATTGTGTCTAAATATAGGATTTGTGGAAGATTTAACGCAGATAAGTTCAGTTTTCCATATTAAAAATCTAGACATACTTTTGATCATTATATTATCAAAATACGAATCAAATACGAACCCCGTAGAAATTGCGTAATTACTTTGCACGATAACCACAATGCGCAAGTAATTCACAGTGTAGAAGTCTATCATATACCTGGGTATGGAATTCACAATGGCCGATATGTAAGTAAACAAGATGACTGTATTGTGTTAGTTATATATTCTTCACTTCGTCTATGCAATACATAAGAAATAGCTTGGTTGCGATAAAGTAGAATCACGTAACAGAATAGTTGTATAGTTGACAAAGACTGAATCTTGCATAGACGCAAATGTCCTATTCCTATAGCGGCTGCAAGAGGCTTACACTTTTGTTGTATAACTGTTACCTGCAGCCCTTATACAACCTCTTAAATGTCTGAAGTCTCCTATTAGGTGTGCCCATTCCGCTTGTATAGCTGTTCCAAGAGGGTTTTGCCAATGTTCTTACAGTATACAATGCTGTGTAAGGAA